GGCCTTGACGTGAAGAAATTTGTTAAATCTTGCGGCATATGTCAGCGCACTAAGGGTGGGTTGCCTAGATCCGGTTTGCTGCAATCGCTCCCAGTACCAGACACCCCCTGGAAAGATATTTCCATGGACTTTATCGTTGGCTTACCCCAGACCCCTCAGGGCTTTGATGCAATTTATACATTAATTTTGTTGACCGGCTTACAAAATGTGTCCATTTAGTCCCCACGACTTCCAAAATTGACGCTAAGGGTTCTGCTGATTTGTATCTCCAGAATGTGTTTAGATTACACGGTTTGAGTTCCACTATTGTTTGTGATCGGGACCCAAGATTTACTTCTGAATTTTTCCGGGAATTGTTTCATCAATAATTAGGTACCACCTTGTCGTTTAGTACTGCCAATCACCCACAGACCGATGGGAAAGACTGAGAGAATGAATAGAGTAATTGAGGATGTGCTTAGAGCGTTTGTTAACCACAAACAAGATAATTGGGACAAGCTTCTGCCTCTTTGCGAATTTGCAATTAATAGTTCATATTAGTCTTCCACTTCTACGCCGTTTTATCTAAATTATGGACTTAATCCCAAGTCCCCACCAGATTTCCTGGCACGGAGGGGAGGAGGGAGTGCCCCAGACTGGATCCAGGATCGGGCGGATGCCGTCAAGTTGGCAAAGGACGCCATGATTGCCGCTCAGGCTAGACGAGCTCAGTATGCAGACAGGGGAAGGGTGCCCAGCAACCTGAAGGTTGGCGACATGGTGCTGGTGTACAAGGATTTCCTAACAACCGCAGAAGCCCGGGATCAGCCTTCACAGAAGCTACGCCCTAAGTGGTTCGGGCCCTACCCAATCATCAAGAAGATCGGACCCAACGCCTATCTGCTGGATCTACCCAGCGCTATTCGGTGCCACCCTGTCTTCAATGTCACTGCTCTGCGCCGGTATGAGCAGAATACTATTCCCAGCAGGCGGCAGCCACCCCCGCCACCGTTCACTGACTTGCACGGTCAGACCAGATACATGGTGGAGAAGATTCTTGACGATCGCCAGCGAAGGCATCAGACTCAGTACCTTGTCAAGTGGCAAGGGTACCCAGACGACGAAGCCACCTGGGAGCCAGAGGGGAACTTGCTGGACGAGGCCGGTAGGCCGATAGTTCCTCTGAGGCGTTACAGGGCGTCCAGGGCATGTAAGTGACACTATGGTTACCGCGAAATGTTACTCGCTCAAATTCAATTGCACGTGTACCTTGAGAATTCCCACTTGATCCTTGTTGTGTTAAGCAATCCATTCCCCTCCTGTTTTAGATTTTCCCCATTTCCGCTATCTTCACTCGCCTGACTGTCCTTGGTTACCTTGCACGGTGCTTCAATTAGATGAGCGTTGTTGGGTTGACACGATTTCATTTGATTATTCCCTTTCCACATATTCCTCGACTCCCTGGAGGCACCTGTGCCTTGCTTAGGAGGGAGGGATGGTGCAACAGTTCCCTGTTAGCGCTAACCTTATCTGCCTTCTAGCTCTGTATCTTGCACCTTTCCCTATCCTGTCAGCACTCGCGTTATCACCTTAGGGCACGAAGTGCCCTATATCAGTTGTGTTGCCTTGAGCAAGCATTGTCTTTTCCAAGAATACCTTCAAACGGTTACACTCTCACTGGATTGTCGGGAGAAGCTGGGGCTTGTGCTTCTGTCGCGACCTGGCCTAGCCCAGCTTCGGAAGGTGGCGCTTGATAAATGCCGATGGAATTCATTGCGAAACATTACTGTTAATTAGCCTGGCCATAATAATACGCCTACCCCTGACATGCTTGCCTGCCTACTCGTGTGCACGCATGCATTCTTGCCGGAAATGTCTACCTGTGGTGACAATACTTTAGTCTTTTCTTTCTTTATTCTGATCTTCTTTTTTAGTGTTTGCACACTCTTGGCTGCTGCTGTGGCACTTTTGTACTTTCGTGCTGCTGCGCTCTGTACGGCTGCACGAGCCGTATTAACTGTCGTACCCAGACGCACACATTCAAACCCTGGCTACGCTTTGGAATTGTTTTCGTTGCCTATGTCCTCATCTCTCTTCGTTTTGTTTTCGCTGCCTGGGCTCTCATTTATCTTTGCTTGCTTGCTTGCTTGTATTGCTGAGGGAACATATGCTGGTTTGTATTCGTGGGTCCCTATGGTACATGGGCCACACGTACTCATCCGGCGGATATGTGTGATGAATAACAGTAATACATGGTTATGAGTGCACAATTGATATTTTTCATTACAATTTTACGACTGTTGTCTCCTCGTCGGTTATATAAATATTTTCTCCTTTGGAGAGTAATAGTTCACACACTATTATATGCAGTGCTGCCAAACTCAAATGTGGACTGAATGATCGATAAATAGAAAAGTCGTTTGCCAAAAATGCTGATATTCTGCTTTGCATGGACAAATGCTCCGACTTTCCTATTGACATTTGCACATACTGCATCCACTTGGGTTGAGAGAAGACAGATGTTCGTCAACCAGCATTCCTAAGTACTGAGCGTAAGCAGATGGGACTATGGAAGTGCCCCGGCAGTTGACTGCGGTGCCAGGTGGCAACTCCGTGCCCGGTCGCCGGAGCAGGACAAACTGAGTCTTGGACGGGTTTAACACCTGTCCCTTCCGATCTAGGTAGCGATCCAGAGCAGCAAGGTCATCACTCAGCTGGGTTTTGATGATCTGGATGGACTTGTGCCTGATATAGAGTGTGATATCATCGGCATAAAGTTGATTCAATGCATGTGGAAGCACTGTGGTGCATCACGGGTGTAAATGCAGAATAGCAATGGGCCGAGCACGGAGCCTTGTGGGACGCCTCTTGTGCAAGGGCGGGCCCCACCTAGCTGTTGACCTACTCTTACTCGCTGGACTTCTAGGAGAAAAAGAAGAGAATGGATTCAGCCAATCAGAAGCCGTTATTTCCGGGGCATATAGCACGATATTCACCGGAATTCCGGGGAATATACATTATTCTTATACCATAGTACGGTAGGAAACCATGGATTCAGCCAATCCGCAGCCGTTATTTCCGGGGAATATTGTATAGAATAAACACCGATGTTGCAGTGTTTATGGGAATATAAACACTGCTATAAAAACCGAGTCGTAGCCGAGGTTTTTATGGACAGTGTTTATATTCCCATAAACACAAGACAGAGGTGTTTATTCTATTTAGACCTAGCTTCGTTCTTGGCCTGAACTACTGGTCCGAAATAGCTGTTTTAGTATCCCAGTATACTATAGTATACTATTATGTGTAGGCAGAATTGCGTGTTACAGACCTAAGATCAATCTTTCAACCAACTTCAGCATCAGCACCCTGGTGGCTGGGTAGTCAAGATGCATGTACATGTAGGTGCTTGGGAATGTTATAATGTAAAACCGGAAAGTCTCACGAGTCACAAAGTCTAACGTTTTAACGTCCAATTATTTTTCGTTATTTGAAAAAACGTTATCGCTGGATATCTGTATAAAGATCGGCATACAGATGGGTGGCCAGATAGCCATCGTTAAACTTTCTGCACGTAATTATGCCAAAATTACAAAAACGTTAAACTTTTTGGTCGTTAGACTTTCCGGTTTTGCAGTAGTTGCAGGTACGATTCCGCCTCAAACTTCTTTCTTCTCTTCAATTTTTTTCTCTTTTTCAATTGGGGAGAAAACTTCTAAGTCCCTTGAAAGTTGAAAAGAACCTCTATTAAGGTGGCAGACTACCCAAAAATTCGTTGAAAAATTGAATTTGAAAATTCATATTGAGTGCTACGTCAGTTGAAAGAGCATGAATAGCTGCAAATTCTCGTGAAAATTGTGTCCCGATCTGACCAGCCGTTCAAGAGTTATGGCCGAAAATGTGCCCATGCAAGGAAAGATTTTTTGTTGCACGCTGTCATTTGTTGGCAGCACTGTATTTGATTCTGAGCAGACCGTGCGCAACTTGTCGTATCATGGAAACACGCGAAAGTGTGCAGAATTTTGCTCCAAGTCCAAAAAAGTCCAAAACATCACGTTAAAAAATACGTATTGGGCTGCAGGACTTTTGCCAGCACCCTCGTGACTTTGCAGATATGTGGCTTGATTATTGTAGTTGACGTTGATTTAGTGACTTTGGCAAGTTTGAGTCGTGTCAAGAAGTCAGGTAGGATTCAGTACTAGGCAGTAGTGGAACGTGAGTGGCAGTCTTTGCCGGTTTCTGAGGGTATCCTGGATTTGGTGTGCAGCGCTGTGGAAACGGCTTGCTGTGGAGGTCCCAGCACTGGATGTTGTATCAAAGGTACGACCTCGTAGCACGTGCTAAACCAAAAGATTCAAAAATTGACTTGGGTCTGTGGGAGTCTGTGAGAGAACGCCCACTCGTTCCGTTGTGAAAGATTCCAGGGCCACGTTGGGGGGGGGGGGGGGCTAACCCACCAACCGTGGCTGCTTCTGGACTTGTTTTAGGTTTGGGTCTCGCGCAAGGACAAAATGGGCACGAAAATGTGGAAAAAATTGTAAATGCATTTGTTTGGCTCCTGGGTGGCTCGCACACCGTGGCACTATGCCGGAAATTGGAGTTTTTCCGGCCTGGAAAGCCTGTCAGTGAGGCACAAGAACTTGTAAATCGTCGCCTGAGGGCCAGCATAGTGGCAGGAGTGTGTGGTCAAAATTTCACTCAAATCCATTGAGAAACACCAAAGTTACGGTCAATTGAATGCCATATGAAATGTGTGGGTAGGCTGCCAACTTAAAGTTGGTAGTATAGCAAAGTATATATCCCGAGTTAAAGTGGTGAATTTGGAGAGTTATCACTCTTCTATATCGACCTCCACTAATTCTTGTGATCCTTGACTGGTCCTATTTTTTATTTTAGTTTTTTAGTTTTACTACAAAGCACTGGCCAGCAACATAAAAGTGGAGGTAGACAAAATTGGACAAGCGAACATTGACAACTCAGAGGAGCCTGACATTCAATCTTTGTCGTATCTTTGCTCGTAGAGAAGGAAGTGGGCAAGCAACGAGACTCGAACGTAACTACCCTAAAAATGGTAAGAGTTCCAGCAAATTGCAAGTAAAAGGGCACCAACTATCCCTCTCTTCTCTCTCTCTTCTTTCCCTCTTCTCCCTCTCTGTCTCTCTCTATATATATGTACAGAATGAAGATCCCCTCGATAGGCCAAAACGGCCTCTAGGGAATCCTGTAAATATATTATACAAATCGCACAATTATATTAATAAAGCTATGAATAGGATGAAGGTCGCAGACATCACGCAACTAAGTTACCTGTTTGACATGTATTTACTGTGTATTTTTATAACAAAAATATTATTGAAAACCCAGAATCCATTTTCTTGTTCCTATCATCAGTGGGAAAAAATACGGAACTAAGGATAAAACCAAAGAAACTGAAGTTTAGTACTGTAAATAGATAGGTGTTAGAAATAACAGCAAGATACAAGTGCAATAAAACCACTAGATGGAACGCAAAAAGGTAACAAGATTACGTAACCAAAGGCGAGAAGGCATTGAACGAAGTGTCAACCTACGAATACAACTTCAGTGCAACAAAGTGATCCTTCTGCTTACACAAAACAGGCTTATGAATACGTATACAAACTGCCTCAAGGACTTTCAACTCTTGGACATAACGCGCACGACACAGTACAGAAAAATGAGAGTCATCATACACACTAAGACAGTCAGGACGAGATAACAAGTGTTGATACACAGCTGACTTCTTACGATCCACACATTCATCCGCCTCATCTCGCTCCTTCCCACCCGACTTCTCCTCGTCCATCTCATCATCCTCTTCCTCGTTCCGCTCGTCATCCACACGATAATCATCACTACCATCATCTGCCTCGTCCTCTGTCTCCTCACCAACCGTTTCATCATCCAATTGCTCTTCCATCCTCTGATCATCCGTCTCATCCTCCGTTTATGTACAGACCACTTGTCTCCCATTTGCTAGCTGCTCGTCCCGTGAGCGGAGTTGTTCCCCCAGATCCGCTTCACTCACTGACTCCTGATCCTGCTCGACCTTCCTTCTGTTGGTATTATCCACAACGCGCGGTCCTTGGCCGTTTCTGGGATAAATATCTGTGGAGTAGTTTGCTGTTGCCCTCCGAGGTCTCTGGATTAATGTGGGTGCCGTGGCAATTCGTGTGAGAGTTGGTGATGCCAGCGCGAGTGTAGGTGGGTCCACCGCAGCCCCCGTTATTTCTAACACCTATCTATTTACAGTACTTAACTTCAGTTTCTTTGGTTGTATCCTTAGTTCCGTATTTTTTCCCACTGATGATAGGAACAAGAAAATCGAGCTATATTAAAATTACTATCTCCACGTAGATTATTTGTACAATTATATTATATAATATTATTATCTGTCTTCTCTCTTTGTCTCAGCTCTCTTTCCCTCCCTCTCTCTCTCTATCTATCTCTTTCTCTCTCTCTCTCTGCCTCTCTCTCTGTCTCTCTCATTCTCTCTCTCTCTGTCTCTGTCTCTCTCTCTCTCTATTTCTCTCTCTCTATTTCTCTCTCTCCCTCCCTCTCTCTTTCTTTCTCTCTCTCTTTCTCTCTCTCACTCTCTTTTTCTGTCTATTTCTCTCTCTCTCCCTCTCTCCCTATCTCTCTCTATCTCTCTCTCCTGAAAAAGCACGTAGACAATGTTTGGCGCGATACAACGTATTGACAAACACCTTACACGCGATGTTACAATCCCACTTCAGGCATCCTACAAGCTGATCTAAAACCTTTACAAACTGTGGAACTTCAGTATGTCGAGGTTTTTTGCTGCAAGTAGTGCTTCTTTCCCAGGCTAGGGCCGAGCATACCACATAAGCCAAACATCTTTCTGTAGCAGTGAGTTTCGTGTTCAGAAAATCGATTCTGGATTGTATTGTTGATTTACCAAAATTTCGAACCAGTTGCGTGGTGATGTCTGTGGCGTTCATTTTATACATGGCCAACTCTGTCAGTGTGCGCCTCTACTCTAATATTCGAATGTTGCTTTTCCTCGACATTTTCTTGTAGGCGATTGACAGTGCAGTGAGTCCAGATGAAGTCCGAGGTTTTGCTTCAAAGCTGCAGCAGTTATCTGCCACATCGCCAGGTGATCTGGTGACTGCTAACGGCGCCTCACTCCTCGCGTCTCTGGTGAATAAATCCATCCAGGCTCAGGTTGAGTCCGTCGGCAATGGATCAGGATCGGAGTTTGTAAACACGGTGAGTGGGCGAACACTTCCTTTTGAAGAACGGATGAGTGTCTGTATCTTATTCCACGGCGGATAACAGCAACTGTGGACATTTATGTACAAATGCTGTTCTATCTCTGCACAGCACAATGGGTCGAATTTGCTAGCTCTCCAGTCAGTTGAGCTGGGAGTTACTTCCAGAACTACAGTCAACTTTGCGTATAACCACACTAGGGCGGGGCATCAGAAAAGTGTCCTTATTCGCGAAGTGTCCCATTACATGTATACAGTCAGATTGGACTTTGCTCTGGGCATGGAAATTTTGTCGTTATTCGCGAATTGTCGTAATACGCGCAGTCGTTATTAGCGAAGTTGACCGTAGTTGTGATAGAGTAAGGCAAAGACCAACGCTTTCTCAATCAACTCAAAGCATAAGTTCGTTGATGGCGTCTTCATTTACTCCATCCAACAGTAGTAGTTAGGTTCTTTTACCCGTCCTGACGACTTGCAGACACCAGCACAAATAGTTCACCAGCAACACTCCACAACAGCAAGAAGTTCCTCCTGACAAGCTTGCTTCATTCCATAATTAAAAAAATAACATACAGTGGCTTGACTGTTGACGCCCCTGGCCAGCTAGCTGCTCAGTGGTGACGTGCGTACAACTGGTCAATGCCATGGTGCCAGTACCACAGCCAGTGCGTATGCTGACAAAGTAATAATACAATTATGTACACCATAGCTACATTGCAGCTTGTTTCTGTTTACTGTCCGTTCTACAACAACATCTTCTGCAAGGTCACACGCAATGTCGCCACAACCGTTAGCAACCTGATGGAGAACGTTCCTCAAGACGCTCCAGGCAATGCCCCGCTGTCCAAAGCAACAGTCATGTAAGCAAACCTAAGGGAAGCATGTATTTCACACTGTACGTGTCCATTTCCTAGGATAGTAACAACCTTCAGGGCGCAAGCATGAGAGAAATTAATACCGATCGTAAACGGAGTATGACACCTGCGTATCATAATGTGTACGATAGAGATCACACTGATTTTCTCCATTTTCTACCTTCAGTGCACACGCTAGAGAGGAATTTATTCCGAATGAAAATCGAGTATTACAACTACTTCGAAGTACGTGTCATAATGATCCTCGTCTCCGGAGCTCAGTGCTACCACCTGGCACCCCCCCCCCCTTGTTTGTTGGAATGGAAACTTTTTTGCAATACAGTGATATAGCCGATCAGTTCGTTGTGGTGTGGTTGGGCATTGCAGCCGTCATGGTCGACGTAAAACACTATAAGACCGCAACTAAGTTGGGGCAAAAGAGAAAGTTCCATCAGTTCTAATAACATGCATGATGAGCTAGGCAAAAAATCATAGCGTAGGGCTCTGAGCTTCTAAACTCTCTCGTTACAAGTAGACGTGTGATTGTGAATGCTTTGCTTCCAGAATCCGCATAGCGTTGGAAACGTTAATGGAGGCTACAGCCGTCTCTTTCCACACGCCATTCCAAGTATCTTCTCCAAACCTAGCTCTGAGTTGCCATTGCCCGAGCCAGTCTTACTCTCAGCTCTCCGTTTCTGATGAAACCAGCAACGACAATCATTCATCACTTACGATTTTATCGGAGAGCAATGGCGAGCCAAGCATCTTGGCAGGTGTGCGTGTTCCACCGCTGATGCGATCATCCCCTACGAGTGATCCGGAAAGCCAAAGTGACTGTGGGCAAGCTTCGCCTGTGGAGATCATTGCCTATCGGACTCCTATGCTATTCCGTCCCAGTGGTGAAGACCTTAAGCCGGGATCTCCAGCACCAGAGGCTATCCAAAGTGTTGTGCTGAGCGTCAAGTTTCGTGGGCATGACCACGTGGACCTACCTGGCAACCCGGTCCAGTTGAACTTCACACATAAAGTGAGTATGTCGTTCAATCTGTTTGGTTTGGACTTGTTTTGAGGATTTCGCTTAAGTAACTGTGCCGTATCTCCAGCTGAGAAAACTATGCATAACTGTAGTCTGGCATTTACAATGCGCAGGTATGAAACCAAAATAGGTTTGGGTTATTGCCTTCTCCCCCTGGCCCCCGCCACACAGCAACGCAAACTCTTCATTGTGTGTCTCAATTCTTATATTACCAACAAACGTCGAGGGCGCAGGAGGAGAAAGACGAAAATACCAGACTGAGCCAAAACGACGACGAGAAAAGACACGACGAAACAACAAAGAACAAGCAGTAATAAAGAGACGACAGATCGTGACGACCAATCAGGGACCAACACGTACAGAACACATTACCAGACCACGGACGAATCACACATGACTCTCATTTCCAGACCAAACTAGCACTGCGCATGCACAGCAATCACTTGACAGTCACTCTCGCACAGACGGAAGCAGATCCTCAAACTCTGACAACGAGTACTCTTGCATGCACCACATACCATAAACATCTCACATCACACCATGCTCACACGTACACTTAGACCATATTATGACATCAGACACTGGACTCTACGAGACAAGAACCAAATACAGCAACATGCGTAAATGATAGTCGAACGGAATTTCGCAACAGGTAGATCTATCTAAAATGGTTGCTCCTACTTGAACCCACATAGGAAAAAATGAGCTAGTGTTGAATGCAGGTATTGGTTAGGTGCAGATATTGTGCATATTTCTCTTCTTCAATTGCGGAGGCTCCACTGCCACCAATTATTCATGCCTCAATCTACTTCTTCACCACCTAGGCGACCACAATGATTGCCGTGTAAGACCGTGTTGGTGAAGAAGGAGACTCGGCATATTTCTCTCTCTTACAAGCAGTTTTGTGTTTGTGTGCCTGTGTATTTGTGGCACTTTCTTTTAGCCATAATGTACATGCCTACAGCTAGTACAGGTTCACATGAAACCAAGAAAAAATAACTAGGCTACGATGTCTCTGCGTGTTTTGCTTACGTTTTTATGCATGTGTGCGTGTGTGCGTGTGTGTGTGTGTGTGTGTGCGTGTGTGTGTACGTGCACTCGTACAATATGAAGGACATAGGCGGCACGCACCGCGCTATGTGTTCCTATTGGCATGAAAACACCGGTAAGGCAGGTGCTAGTAATATGAATTGAAAAGTTGCAAAGTTTAGTTCAGTCCTCATACTTTGCATTGGATCATGACCATACATGCTGAAGCATGTTACAATCCATTTCAGGACCCCTAGAGTGAGCATACTGTACGGCCTCATTTCATTAAAAGTGGATTACTGTATTGTGCAAGAAAGCTAATGCCTTGCCTGTGCAGAAAGAGTATTTTATTCCATTATTGGTGCAATGGAAGCTTAGTATTTCAACTTGGTAGGGGACTGTTCCTGTCCCAATCTTGACCACTCACACAAGCCAACAGTCGGATTAGAGCATCTAACACCAAATTTGGGGCGAAATGTAATTGCTACTTGCTACTATCCGCACCTTGATCCTTTTAAAACGGTTGGCGGAGTTCTTGAAAGGATGCGGATTGCGGAAAGGTAAGTCGGTCGAAATCCTTGCACTGATGATTTTCTCTTGTTATCTTTGGCTTTGTGTTTAGAATCATGGAGGCAGGATGGCTGTCGGGCCATCTCGTCCGGCAAGAATCCAGGAATGACAAGCTGCGAATGCGATCACTTGACCAACTTCGCCCTGCTGTTCGTAAGTGGTGGCTATTGATTGTGTTTCTGGTCTCGAAATAGTCCGTTGGGTTAGTTCAGACTGAACGCGGCACAATTGTGTCTTCTGCAGTGCTAGGACTGGATAGACAACTCACAAATGGTCCAGATCGTTTCGGTATCTCTCTTGTTCGCAACAGCGAAAGACAAGAGAGGGAGCTAAAAACAGTTGCAAAAGGCTAAATTTAACTCCTCACTAGCTGTATAACCAGCACCTGGTCAAGACGTGTATAATAATACCGTTTGCCGGACCTTGTGCCAAGCGGAATCCTGTATTGACCAGACACATGTTAATACACCGACGTGCTGTTCTTTGAACCTGCATAAAATGGAATCATGTCATATCAGAACAGTTTCCGCTGCACCATTCCAAGGCCAAAGGTGTCCGGTTATGGCACGCTTTAGTGTACATGTATATTGCAACAATTACTCCCCAGCTGTTCCTATATTGTGTTTTATGTTGAATGTTTGGCAATGCTGCATTCAAGGTGTTCGGCAGTGTCCCTGTTCGCTCAGTGTAGAAATGATCTGTTCTAGTATAATTATGTGTGCCAGTCGACCTTTCCTCTATCAAGTGTACATGAAACCAAGAGTGTGCAGTGTTCAACTTTTTCTCTATGGCCAAATTCCGCGATCACAAAAGTCATCATGTTTTGGTGCAGATCTGAGGCGGGAAGTGGCGTAGTGCGTAGAACTGAGCTGCATTTCTGCAGAAAGAGACCTGCTTGGATCCTGCTTGCATGCACCACATCACTAAGATGATGTAATCGAGGAATTTCGCCGCGACAGCAACCCATCCGAGCTGCACACTCTGGGTTTTGTATACTCTTGCCTCTATACACTATGCACTATGCACTATGTATTATGCACTATGCACTATGCACTATGCACTATGCACTATGCACTATGCACTATGCACTATGCACTATGCACTGTGCACTATGCACTATGCACTATGCACTATGTACTATGCACTATGCACTATGCACTATGCACTATGCACTATGCACTATGTACTATGTACTATGCACTATGCACTATGCACTATGCACTATGTACTATGTACAGTTGTGGCAAGTGAAATCCGACACTTGTCATAGGGGACAGCGCCACAAATGGACACCAATGATGTAATGCACCGCACCTAGTTTGTACTACAGAGCCGTATGCATCACAAACAGATCGAAAGGTCACAGAGAAGATACACACAGTTCACAAACATGATACACATAAGGAGTATTGGTATCCAATCCCCATTCATTTTTGCCAGCACCTTTTGAACCTTGACTGTGATGAGTACGAGTTTTGTCATCAGACAGATAAAGTTGTATGTAACACATGTACTGTACGTATGCAGGGCTGCAGGGGCTGCAGACTACATGGTGCAGTCCCTTATGCCAAGTGTCGGATTTCACTTGCAACAACTGTACTATGCACTATGTACTATGCACTATGCACTATGTACTATGCACTATGTACTATGCACTATGCACTATGCACTATGCACTATGCACTATGCACTATGCACTATGCACTATGTACTATGCACTATGCACTATGCACTATGCACTATGTACTATGTACTATGCACTATGCACTATGCACTATGTACTATGCACTATGTACTATGTACTATGCACTATGCACTATGCACTATGCACTATGCACTATGCACTATGCACTATGCACTATGCACTATGCACTATGTACTATGCACTATGTACTATGTACTATGCACTATGCACTATGCACTATGTACTATGCACTATGACTATGTACTATGCACTATGCACTATGCACTATGTACTATGCACTATGTACTATGCACTATGTACTATACACTATGCACTATGCACTATGCACTATGCACTATGTACTATGCACTATGCACTATGTATTATGCACTATGTACTATGCACTATGCACTATGCACTATGTACTATGCACTATGCACTATGCACTATGTACTATGTACTATGTACTATGCACTATGCACTATGTACTATGCACTATGCACTATGTACTATGCACTATGTACTATGTACTATGCACTATGCACTATGTACTATACACTATGCACTATGTACTATTCACTATGCACTATGCACTATGTACTATGCACTATGTACTATGCACTATGCACTATATACACGCAGGTTCGTGATGATGTCATCACATCCGATGGGCATGGCAACGCAGGCAGAGCCCTGACGATCATTACATTCGTAGGCAGCGCGCTGAGCATCATCTGCCTTCTGGCCACCGTTTTCATTATCCTCTACTTCAAGTAAGACAGTTAATCAGAGACATGCTGCATGACATGTTTGGTCAAATTCGTATCTCCAGGGGCCTTATAAAATGTATGTTACACATACCGCATTTATGGGAGTATAAGTCGCACTTGTAACACCAGTAATTCACCCCAAAAAAAGTCCGATTTACACTACGATGGTCAAATTAACAGTGAAAAAAGAGGGAAGATGTCTGTATGTCAGGACAAAAAAACCAGGGTACAGCTTCTTATCTTCTCCGGTGCAGCTTGTACTCCGGTGCAGCTTTAGTTTCACGAGAATGAATCAGTATTAATGAATCTCTAAAACTGCTTGGTCTCCAATGAAAGATGGTCATGGTTTCTGAACATAGATTTCTGTAACACCAGTAGAATACACTTGTGTCACAAGTGGTATTTGTGAATCTTGCACTGACTGTTTCTGTTGCCACCTTGCAGGAAGCTTCGCACCAAGCCGTTCCAGCAGACAGCACTGCAGCTATCTCTGGCACTCATCCTGAATACCGTGCTGGTTCTGCTGGTGATGCAGGGACGAGACGAGAACGTGCTCAGCGCCGAGAACGACAGCCTGTGCACCGCTCTGGCCGTGGTAATGCACCTCAGCTTGCTCGTGGTGTTCGGCTTGATGGCAGCGGCGGCGGTACATCTGTACCTGATCATCGTGAAGACTAAACACGACCAGCGCACTGTACGCCTAGTCTATGCCCTTGCCTATGGTAAGTCTGTTCACCCTCCAATACCTGGAAACCCTCAATAATTTCAACATAGTTCTATCCAAGAGTGCACGACGTCCTCACTTTTATCTCCTGCCCACTCACACTGCTCCCTGTTTCCTCTCCACTCTACTACATTCCATGATCACCACGTGGAACTCCCTGCCTACCGAGATTAGGATATCTGAAGCCCGTGGTGTATTTAGCCGGCACGTTAAGTCCCATTTCCACAGGTAAAGATTCCATTCTCGATGTGACCGCGATTGGCCCATATGTTGTAGTCTTTTGGACGCTGAGTCGACTGGTTTTGGTCCGAAAAGGCTGCGATGCAGCGTTCCTCCTTTATTCCCAATCGAACATGGTTGAACAAGCGGTCACGTGCTCCTGCGTACACCAGTCACCTGGTCACCGTGCCTGCAGGGTACAACTTACTAGCCTGTTTGACCGTTTTGAGTGCAGTCATGTCACTCGAGTTGAATCTTGGTGTGAAAGTTGTCGCCTGCTGGCGTGGTGACCAGGTGATTTGGGCACCCAGGCGCACGTGACCGCTTGTTCAATCATGTTCGATTGGGAATAAAGGAGGAACGCTGCATCGCAGCCTTTTTTGCCCAAAACCAGTTGACTAAGCGGTCAAAACACTACAACATATGAGCCAATCGCGGTCATCCGTGCTTTTATAAGAACGGCATGGCGCTTTCATTGACATTTTGCATACAAATCCCCATCTAGTAGGGCGCAGTCACCCAGTTTCGGTGGAAATGCGCGAGTTCGATTGGGATTAAAGTAGGATGGGAGCGTCTCAGCTTTCTCGGACCAAGACTATTCGACTCAGCACCTCGAAGACTACAACTGGTGAAATTTTGATTTTAGCCTTAACTTCCCCTTGAATGTTTTTGAAATATAGAGCCTAGATCAGTGGTACCTGGAGCAAACATGGTACACTCAGTACCATAGTGACCGTACCGTGTCCGACAGCCCTGTGAATAATGATACTAATGATTATGTTTGAAGCGCTCTGGCCTGATACTAGGTGGCAGATGGCGTGAGAGATTCACTCCCTGATCGTACATTTGTTTATCAAGAGCCAATACCCCCCAAGTATATAACTTTGCACAGGGAAAATGGCACAGCGGTCTGCCCACACTACATCGCCACAGACTAGTGAATATGCTAGGCCATTGTGTCGCTATTGGTCCAAGCACGACTAGAAAGGGCTAGACTATTGAACTAAGAAATTCCTAACTCTGTTCTTTTCCAATACATTATTTACCCCACAGGTACCCCATTCATCATCGTTGCTTTTCCAGCTGGCATAAGAAGACTTGACGCCTACGGCTCGGAAAAGCTGTGAGTGGTGGACTTAGTATTCTGTGTTTGTTTGCGTGTGTGTGTCACTGTGTGTGTGTCACTGTGTGTGTGCGTGCGTGCGCGTGCGTGCATGTGCACGCGTGTGTGTGTGTGTGTGTGTGTGTATGTGTGAATGTGTGAGTGTGTGCATTATGTACATGCGAAATAGCTACATATGCTGTATTGAGAATTATAGCGTCCTTAAATGAACATGTATGTACTACTCTGTACGTGGAGAAGGCAAGGTGTAAGTCATGATTTCTACCTCTCTATGCCTGTGCAGATGTTGGCTAAAGGATAACAGTACATTTTACACCACCGTTGTAACACCGCTCTGTGGCATGCTGGTGTTTAACTGCATCATGCTGACCAGTATTTCCAAGCACCTGTACCACGTACGCAAGAACCTCAGCTCTCAGAAGCAGGGGCGCGAGATCAACTTAGTTACCGTGGTGATATCCATGTCGGTGGTGATTGGCCTGGCTTGGATCAGCGGCGTGTTGCTTGTGATCCATAACACTGTTGCGACGCAGTACATCTTTACTCTGCTCGTGAGCACACAAGGCTGCCTCATGTTCGCCGTCCACACGGCACGATCCCCCGACGTTCGTCAGGAACTGCTCAAGTCGGTTCACTCGTCCACCGCGTCTTCCGCCTTGTCCACAAAGCGTCGCCGCGGGTCCAAGGGGAAAGGGTCCAGTAGCACGCCTACATCCTTTGTCCTGGATCACATCCGCAGTTTGTACCTGTTCAGCCGACGCAGCTCTGCGACACTTTCCCAGCCAACCAGTAGCAATGTTTGAGAGTACAGTCAGTGCAGTGTGCACTGGTACTGCTCGGAGCCCAGTCCAGTATATCGAGTGCTGGGTCTTACAGGTCATGGGACATCAGTAAGTACTTACACAACTGTTACTGCGTCTGCTTGGCCTCCGACTGCATGTTGGCATACCAGTCCGCTGATCTTGGATATACAGTACATGCACTCCGGCAATAAGTTTCATATCTTTTTTGTGCTTGGATGTCCATTATACTTTAAAGCACAGTATGCTGAATACTCCATCAATTCTCCCTGACGCTAATCTGCATGTTGTCATACAAATCAGCTGATCTTGGATAAACATTACATGTACAGTGGTAATAATAAATTACAAATCATTTTTTGTGTATGGAGGTACTTTATGCTTTTAAAAGCATCACAGTAAGCTGCGTTTTCCAGCAATTTCCCCTGACAAGTCTCACGATGACATTATGTGTCCGCTGGGGTTTTCAATCCAGTGCTTCATCTTATGCGCTTACGGCTAAAGTTGGAATGAACAAAATATTTCATTCCAGCCGAAATTGCCCAATTCACGGCAGGGGAAAGCCAATTGCCACAAGCTCGTGGCTGGCTATGTATGATCTATGTTATTCCCTTATCATGTCAGGTACACGGCCTCGTGTTCCCACAACTAAATTGTCTAAACTAATTTGCCTCCTTCCCCAAGCGGGTTTTTGTTTATCTTGGACATGATTTTGCCCCCCCCCCCCACTTCCATCTAATATGCCACCGCCCCCGCTGTGCAGCATCTGATGGTTCTGTGGTATTCAGTAAAAAAATAATAATAATGATTTAAAAAAATTTCGATGTTACCTTTTGTGTCAGAGTTGTAGCTGAACTTCTCATACATGCGCAAGAATACCAAACATCCATGATGATCTTCTTTGCTTCAATACATTTCTGCAAAAAAATCATTTCTTTTCTTCACTTCTTTTTGAATGATGCTTTGGCTTAATCTGCAAGTTCCATTTCGGTCTCGTTTCGTGTATTTTCAGCACAGTATTTGTATGGGTCTGATCAGAGTGTTTCCAATCAAAAGTTTTACATTTCATTACTTGATAACTGTTCCTGTCTGGTGCATTTCCGCTGCTAAACATTAATAATAATGCAAATAGTAGTTTCAACGTACTTGTATTGCATGGATAGCTCCCCCACCCCCTCCCTCCCCCCCCCCCCATAATCGGTGACTCAGAGATACGTTGGTTGCCCTCTCTTAAAATTCCAACTGGAGATGCGTTCACAGCACACATTGAGAGACTTGGTACCTATGCTCTACTCTAGTGCTGAGTCGGGTATCGGGTTCGGGTAGTTTTCCACGGGCAGCACGGGTACCCGGTCGGGTAATGTTTCCATGGTAACATCACAATGCAACGCTTCCCTTACACACTGGGTAGACATGCGGAGTATTATAAATTAGTACACGTGAACTGTACATGATGTCATCTGCGACTTTGGGCTTTCGGGTACTATTCTGTACCCGTCTACCCGAGGTCTTCACGGGTAGCAGGGGACCCGACTACCCGTGCACACCCTTACTCTACCCATCCCATACAATGATCCCCCCCCCCCCATTCGGAAAGCAGACAGTTATGGGCAGATATGGATACATAATGCCTTGATACTGACGCAGCTATCATCATGGACAAGCCATAGGCATAGTCAAGTCCATGCAGTCATGTAGTAGCAGAATAACCATTGTTGAGCTGTGCCAGGCATAGCAACTGGCTGTGGAATCACACAGCACCGTTCCGTACCTCACAAGGCCGGTGACCACCACGGTCGCATATGACACAGACAGCACACACACACATGCACACACCTCAGACCTCAGACATGCCCATCGCGGAAGCGATGATAACGAACAGCTATGTTAGACATAGCAACTTGTGCTGGGATTACACCATTCAACAGCTTGCAAGGCTAATGAATTGACCGCCACTATTTTTAGCCTGGTATCCACCACACAGCTGTTTGAAGTGACTTTTTCTGGCCAGTGAATCCCTGCACACACACACACACACACACACACACACACACACACACACACACACACACACACACACACACACAGACACACACACACACACAAACACACACACACACACACACACACACCTTGGTCCTTGGTAACACTGCCATCAAATGGTCACGTGTCCCCTGTTCAGGGGTCGACAGCACTGAGTTCAGCATTGGATCCAGAAACGCCGCTCTACTTCCTGGACAGGAAATTAGCACAGCTATGCAGGTCGAAACCACGGGATGACTTGCAGCAGCGACTGCAGCCGAGACAATGCGCTCTGCAGCAGGGCAGGGCAACCCGCTGTTTCCGGACCGAGTCTGCCGATGCCACAGCCGAGACCGACGCCACTTCAGCAGCCGAGTTGGAGAGACACTTATGCGAAGCTAGCCCGCCAGCACTCAAGAACCATCTCCTGCACGAATTACATAGTCGGCTGCCGGACTGCTCAGATATGGGCTTCCTCCTCTCGGCCAGGCACTTGTGGCGATTCTTGTATTTCTGGTGGGTGAAAGTATGCTGGCAAACATCGCAGAGCACAGAAGTGTCACGCTGAGCCGATCGCAGTACTGGTTGAGCGGAATACGCACTGCGCCATTTCCCACGCTCCTGGGCGAGGTCGTACCATTCCGTGTGGTCGATGTTCACTGCGGAGAGGTCAGCTCTGACAGAGTCTCGCCACCGTTTCCGAGGACCGCAAGCCGGCCTCGGCGGAAGGAGCGCACCAAACAGGAGCTGGCGCGGAGTTCTATCGCCGTCCATCCTAGCTAGATGGCCTAGCCACTCCAGACGGCGGCGAAGAACACGTGTGGTAATATCCACTGGATCTCGACGATTCCAGGCCTCCAGAATGGTCTTCCTGTTGATGTGGAAGTCCCAGGTGTCTCTTCTAACGAGGGCTAAGATTGCGGAAATGCAGCGAAGATGGAAGGCGGACAGCGCCGCAAGCTCGCTTTTCAGTGGTACCCAACACTCCGCTCCGTAAAGGAGAAGAGAAGCCACGCATGCATCATACACCATTCGCTTCGTTGCCAGTGAAAGATCGCCATCACCAAAGACAGATCGACGCAATGCTCCGAATGCCCTAGATGCTGACGCTATTCGGGACCGAGTGTCCACTGCGGTGCGGCCACCAGTATGGATGATGGAGCCCAGGTAGCGAAAGTCATGCACATTCTCGACAATTTCCCCGCCAACCACCAATGGACGATGATCCTCCGGAGAAATGCCGAAGCCGACCGCCATTACTTTGGTTTTTGATAGGTTAATGGTGAGGCCGAAGCGAGTTGCGACGTCCATGAACCGGCTGAGCGCAAGTGTGGCACCATGGTGAGTTGTAGCAATAAGTGCCGAATCGTCTGCGAATTGACAGTCACGATGGATGTTGATTGTGTCGGTCTTCTGGCGTTTGAAAAGGAGAGATGGTTCAGAGTTAGAGGAGACGGGAAGTCCAATCTCAGGTATGTCCGCAACCTCACGCTGCCACAGCCGGAATACTGCCCACATGAATATATTGAACAATACTGGGGCCATACAACAACCTTGTCGAAGGCCATTTTGCACCTCAATAGGCTCGGCCTCGATGCCCGGGATCGACAGGTTTGCAGACATAGAGGTATGAAATGAGCTGATAATGGTAACCAGCTTGTCAGGTACGCCCGCCTTCCGGAGAATTTCCCACATGCACTTACGGGTGACGGAATCATAGGCCTTCCGTAGATCAACAAAAACCATGAAACCAGAGCAGCGATGTTCATATAGTTTCTCAGATATTTGTCTCACCGCGAAGATCATGTCCGCACAAGATCTGCCTTTGCGGAATCCACACTGCGTGTCTGGCAGGATGTCTTCCGCGAGCCGCTGCAATCTTGTCTGGACGAGGCCAGCAACAGCCTTTCCTACCACCTCCAGAAGAGCGATGCCCCTCCAATTGTCACAGCTGGATAGATTTCCTTTTTTTGGTATCGGGACAAGCTGGCAGTCCACCCACTCCTGGGGCACCCGCTCTGCATTCCACACTGTCTGGACAAGGTCTAGTAGTGCCATCATGAGGCCATCCCCACCAGCCTTCAGTAGTTCCGGTAAGATTCCAGAGCCTCCTGCTGCTTTTCCATTCCGTAGTCGGCGCACAGCTTGCCTAAGCTCTTCCAGAGTAGGTGGATCGGCGAGGTCTTCACACACTTCCTGTTGCTCAATGGTGGCAACAGTTGCAGGTTCATACGAGGTTGGAACATTGTAAACCTTGGAGAAGTGGCGGTGCCATGTGCGGCCCTGATCCGCCGGTGAATTACAGACATTTCCGTTCTCGTCCCGCACAGCGACTGCAGTTACACCCACAAGCCCGAGCCGAGCCGTCTGCATGGTCTTGATACCGACCCAAATGCGCGCCGAGTCAAAGCGCCCCTTCTCAGTACGTTGTGCCATGGCAGCAAACCAATCATTCTTCGCAGCTCGGGTGGCAGCGCGAGCCCTCCTGCGCGCAACACGGTAGCGCGAATACTCTTCCTGATTCCGGTCACTAGTGATCCATGTTCGGTAGCATGCATTGCGTGCGTCCAGCAGTGGCCGCAGCCCGTCCTGGCTTTCCGTAAACCAATCAGGCTGCCGTCTCCTCTGATGACCGAGAGTGTCCGCAGCCGCCGCCGTCACCACGTCCCGCATCGCATTCCATTTCTCGTCTACCGTTTCCGCGTCCGCCACTGCATCAATCTTGGCATTGATGTTTTCCTGGTAGTCGTCAACCTTGCTCCGGTGGTTTCCCTCAGCATCTGTCGAAACCACGGCGGGCAGGTTATGCACTGCAAATCGTACTCTCTTTGTAGATTTCCGCGGTTTCCACAAGACCCTGCCGAGCCTAAACCTGGCGGCAACAAGACTATGGTCGCTCCCACATTCTGCCGAGCGAATAACCTGAGCATCAGTGCACCAGTGCCGGCTCCCTTGCGCTGTGATGATGAAGTCAATACAATGGACATGTTTAGTTCTGGGATGCTGCCAAGTGCCTTTCAATTCCTGCTTTTTCCTGAACCAGGTGTTCGCGATCCAGCATTGATGCATTGCCAGAAACTGAAGTAGCTCCTCTCCAGACGAATTCAGGCAGCCCAAGCCATGTGAGCCACGCACAGCGCTCCAATCATCACCTGGCTCTCCAGATCCCACTCTGGCATTGAAATCTCCAAGTAGAACAAATTTATCTGTGCACGGTATTGAGTTGAGTACTCCTTGCAGAGAGTCATAAAACGCATCCTTTTCACAGCGCTTACTGTTGAATGTTGGCGCATAAGCTGTAACCAGCGACATCCATTCAACCTCTCCACTCGCCAGATCAAACTTCAAGCGTATGGACAACAACCGAGCGGATACTGCGACGAGTTGACAACCTCCTTCGCGCCAGGCCCGAAGCGCATTTCCCCTCAGCACAAACGCAACGCCCTCACCTCGCCGTCTGGGCGCTCCTTCCCCAGGCACAGGCCGACCCGAAGCAATGACCATTGCTCCGTGGACTTGATAGTTTTCCTGACCAAACCAGTGGGTCTCTTGAAGAGCAGCGGCGTCCATCTCCAAGCGTTCCAGATGTTGTACAATTTGATAATTTTTTTTATCGTCGGCAACAATTCCACTCGCGGCAGCCGTCTGAATGTGGCCCTCACTCTCAACCAGAGAGCGTACGTTCCAAGAGCCCATGCTGAATACTCCATGCTGTCGTTTTCTTTGTGCTGTAGATGTCACCACTCGCGGGCTCGCAACGCCTCGCGAAGGCATCTGAGAACGGGACGACGACAAGAGTGTCGACATCAAAAATCGTCGACCAAGTCCGCCGCCGATATTCCCGCCTCAGTATGTTATCCTGGACGGCTGGGGAGGCCCCAGGCCGCCCAGGCCTGTCTCACTATGTCCAGAAACAGTCAGGAGAGGAAGACTTACAGAGAGCAAAAAAAAACTCAAACTGTCCCCACCCAAAGCAAGGACAAAAACACACACACACACCTTTGGACCTTTGGAAAGCCCATCGCCGAAGGCGATGATAGCTATTA